TGTTCTTAAATCCTAGCGAGAAACAAACAGCCAAAGCTATCGGCACATGCAAATCTTGTGTCCTCTTTTTCCTGGCTTAATAAGGACTTCCTTTGCCTCTGCCACCATCTGTCTGGACCCAGTCAATTTCATAAGCAGCTCCGTTAAGCCGCAATGGGTTGTTGTGTTTTAATTTCCCACTTTTCCCTCTTCCGAAAGCCAGGACATCTCGGCTCGCCCGGATTTCGAGCGGCCTCCCGGGGTCAAAACTCTCTCTTTTCTCGGGAAGGGTGCCAGAAAGGGGGCTTTAAAGATTAGCGCTGACATGAGGGATTTGAGAGTCACCCGGAAGACGGAGGCAAGGCCAGAAGGGCGAGCGAGGCAGGGCCTACAACTCCTCCTCTCTCTCACCCACGTTTTGCAGCCGGGGAGAGTGGGCAGAGGCAAGACTTTGCAGGAGGGGGAATTTCCGCCTGCAGCAGATTCTCCCCTGGGGAGGGACAAACTGCGCCCTGAAATAAATAAATTAAGGTCTTATGTATATAATACATATAATACGCCGGAGCGGTACCTATTTATCTACTTGCACATTGACGTGCTCTTGAACTGCTAGGTTGGCAGGAGCAGGGACCGAGCAACGGGAGCTCACCCCGTCGCGGGGATTCGAACCACCAACCTTCCGATCGTCCTAGGCTCTGTGGTTTAATCCACAGCGCCACCCACATCCCATTATGTGTATAATAAAGATTCATAAATGTACCAGGCAAAAACACGTACATAGATATATAGGCCACATGTCTGAAGCTGCACAGGAGAGCATCCAGGAAGCCATTTTGACTCCCAGGCTGACCAGGTGTTTCCTCTGCAAGGTCAAAGTGGAAAAGCCTCCCCCTTGTCTTTTCCTTCACAAATCCTGTCTTGAGGGTATGTCTGTGTTTGAATAGGGTGTGAGCCTGTGACATGGCCCAGGAACTAAGTATTTATCACTACAAAGGAATGGCCAGGCTCCCCAGGGTATCCAATCAAGTAAGCATTAACAGGTAACCTGCCAGACAGGAGGTAAACAACGCACTCAGATTTCTGCTGTAGACCACCCCTTCTGTGATGTAGGTATGATGTTTCTGGGGGTGGTCTTGATCTACAGGGTGGCAATTTCAAAAGTCTTTATAAGGCCTTGTGCGCCATTGTTCGAGGTCCTCCTCCTTTCCTGCGTGTGAGGGGAGCAGCCTGTTGCAACAGATCAATAAAGATCAGGCTTACGAGCTGCTTTGCTTCTCAATATTCTCTGGTTGGCCTCCGCTATTTTCTCCGACCGATGGAGAACCTGCAAAGGACTCTATGAGGGCTCTTGTGTTCCCCATAGGGAAACAAGGACAGATTTTTGTTTACAACAGCCCGCAAACAGATCCTTGCTTGACCTCTGGGTGCCCCATAGGGAATCATTTTTCGAGGTGGATGCGCAGGGATGAGATTAAAGCCCTGAGATTTTTGCTCCAACCTGCTTTCTTTGATAGGGAAAGAGACCCTGTTTGCATGATTTCTCCATTTGCATATGCAAATAGGGCTTTGCTCTTTCCTGCCCACCCCCCTTCCCACTTTGGAAAGGAAGGACTTTCTGACAGAGGATTGCATTTTCATAATCCAAGCAGGCTCCCGGCAGCTTCCAAAACTCCCAGCTCTGCACCTGCCTCATCGTAAGCCTCTGAAGGCTTAGAAAGTTTCATTCTGGTTCCGCCAGACGGGCTAGATTTGAAATGAGCAGCTCAAGAGCCAAACCATCTTCTTTGGCGATCCCTCGTAGCCGAGTAAGATTGTCTTCCATAAACACGGTTTTAACAGTGAGTCCGTAAGTGACTGGGGAGGCCAATTCTGGACCCACACGTCCTTCCACAGTGGGGAAATTGGTTTCCGGGCGGGAGTCCATCACCGTGTGGATTTGCCAAGCGTGCCTTCCTCTTAGCACGTTTCTCGCTTGCGTCCTGAGTTCGAGTGTCTTCAAAGCCCTCAACGCCTTTGGTAAAGGCTGTTCTCCAACTGGAGCGCCCACAGGCCAGTGTTTCCCAATTGCCGGCATTTAAAGCTATGGTTTTCCCAGTACAGTGGTACCTCAGGTTACATACACTTCAGGTTACATACGCTTCAGGTTACACACTCCGCTAACCCAGAAATAGTACCTCGGGTTAAGAACTTTGCTTCAGGATAAGAACAGAAATTGTGCTCCGGCGGCGCGGCAGCAGCAGGAGGCCCCATTAGCTAAAGTGGTGCTTCAGGTTAAGAACAGTTTTAGGTTAAGAACAGACCTCCGGAACAAATTAAATACTTAACCTGAGGTATCACTGTAGTGATGTCTGGAAGTGAGAGCTGGACCATAAAGAAGGCTGATCGCGGAAGAATTGATGCTTTTGAATTCTGGTGCTGGAGGAGACTCTTGAGAGTCCCATGGACTGCAAGAAGATCCAACCTATCTATTCTGAAGGAAATCAGCCCTGAGTGCTCACTGGAAGGACAGATCCTGAAGCTGAGGCTCCAAGACTTTGGCCACCTCAGGAGAAGAGAAGACTCCCTGGAAAAGACCCTGATATTGGGAAAGATGGAGGGCACAAGGAGAAGGGGACGAGGGAGGGCGAGATGGTGGGACAGTGTTCTCGAAGCTACCAGCATGAGTTTGACCAAACTGGGGGAGGCAGTGGAAGACAGGAGGGCCTGGCGTGCTCTTGGTCCAGGGGGTCACGAAGAGGCGGACACGACTAAACGACTGAACAACAACAACATGTTTTTACTGTAATTTTACTGGTGTTAGCTTCCCTGAGCCGGGGTATAAATAAAAATTATTATTATTATTATTATTAGGCAGCTCTTATCTCCTCTCCACCACTGCCCTCCTTGCAAGAATAATTTGATATTTCACAAGGCTGATTGGAAAAAATGGGTTTATAAAAGCAATCATCTGGCGCCCTCTGCAGGCAAGCCTAGAAAACACACCAGCAAACCCTCATTGGATGCTAAGGGCAGCCTTCTGCAACATGGACCCGGGCGCTGGACTACAAGTCCCATGAGCGCCTGCCAGCATGCCAGGACATTTGGACAATCTGCCCTAGGGGGTTGCAGTGTGTGCATGCAGCCGTTTTCAGTTACCTGGAGACAAAAATGTGGAGGGGGGTCATTCCACGCCAAATCAGCTGATTTTAATACTCGACCGTGCTCTCACAACTCAGATTTTCTTCAAAAGAAAATTATATGCAGATACTTATGAGATAACCTCAAATTAATTTTTTAAGATTTTTTGGTCCAAAATCGGGTGCAGGAGAATTTTTTTAAAATTCTGATTTTCGGGCAATTTAGGCTAACTCCAATTTCTGCGTCAGTTTAGGGGGGAAACCCCCGTTTCGCTCATTTTTCAACCATTTGGGCTTATTTGGGTATCAAAATAAAGCTAATTGTGGTCTCTTTCAAAATAAGGTATGCAAATGGTATTAAGTGCCGCAGAAAAGCGTCATCAACCATTCAAAGCGATTTTTTGTCATTTTATTTCCGGTAGGTTCGATAAGCCATAATGCACAAACCACAACTATCACATGTATCATAGGTTTTTTTTGTAGAATGGGCTAACCGTGTACTTGTTATGTTTTAAAAATAAGGAGGGTGTTTTTGGTGGTTATAAAATAAATTGATTTTGAAGTAATTTTTTTTTTTTTTTACAAATTTTTATTATTATTATTTGTACAGGTTTAAGGTCTCACTGAGCCTGAAATAATTCACACATTCGTGAGAATAGTTAAAATTGTACCTTCTTATGTTACAATGTCATCCGATATATTCTAAAAAGTTTTATTGATTATTTAATTTAAAAAAACAAAGCACACGGCGCCAGGTGATTTGGCGCGGAATGACCCGGAGGAGAGAGAGGAGAGGGTTTTTTTGGCTCAGGGCGGCCAACTTTCCAGCTAGCATCTGTCACTATACTTGCAAAGCGCAGTAGGATCCGCACAGGTTAGCCCAGCAATCACGCCCTTTTCCTCATCCAGAGAAAACATTAGCTGCTCATATCTCCCCATTGGACTGCTGCCGAAAGCACAGGAGCAGTCATAGCCACGGTCAGTTGGCAACCCCTCTTTTGTAAATCAAGGATTCGGTAGGGAGAAGAGCAGAAAGTTCAAATGCCTCTGTGTATATTGAAGACTTGGTTGTCCAAAAATAAAAATAAAAAAAGGAACTCAACCTGGAGTCCTCCAGCTGTTTGGGTCTGAAGGAATGGGTTTCCCAAACCCCAAAATCTGACTGTGCAGTCAGTCTGAAACGGGCCCCCAAATCCCCATTTTTCCTTCTCCAAGGGTGCATTAGCTAAAAACCATTAACTTGAGCTCTTGAGCAAATGTATAACAGGAACCCAGCTGTATAAACAGAGATCTCTCCTTTATCAGTCCGTGACGCCTAATGAATGGCCTTGTCAGTTCCAAAGTGGAGCAGGGATGGCACATCTGGGTCTTATCTTACATCCTGACCACACTGACGCACAGACCTTGTCAGCCCCCCGGGAACGGTGCCAGGCGTGCTCTTAGAGTTGGTGACCTTCTTACCCCAAGATAAGGAATACAGGAACAGGAACACCCCTTTATGGTCAAGAGTACCGGAACAGGAACATCTGTTTATGGTCATGGATGTCAACTTACGTGTATAAGCTGACGTGGCTGGATTCCTGGGGAGGGGGCAAGGGGACCAGAAAGGGTATATAATCTGTGTGTAACCGCTCTTTAAGTGCTCTTGCTGTGAACTGACCACGCAAGTGCCTTCTGCTATCCGGAGAGCAGAATAAACTCTTTCTCTGAACCAAACCTCGGTGTCATTTGACTTCCTTCCTCCCATCCGGGAGCAACGCTCACCCAACCAATCGGTAAAGTCTAATAAGGCTACAGGTCTACAACTCCCATCTGGCTGGGTGCGGATGGTGGGAATTGGAGTGCCAAACAGGTTGGCAGAAGCTGATACAGCCATTTCTACCCGACACAGATCAGCCTCTTTTGCCCTGCTCGAATGGCAACGTTAGTCGTCCTTTATTGCATATTATTCACCTCGTGTACAAAGATCGCCGCTGAATATAAGACACAATTTCTCCCAAGGCCTACGAAGTGGATTCAACTTTTTACGAAAAATCTCATTATCCTCCTTCGATATCGATTTTAGATCCACGATTTCAAGATGTCGGCACAAAATCTGACCGAAAGGTTTGGCCTACGAATACCCGTGTTTGGCATATCCGTTAAACAGGGTTGTTCAGTTGTTTTACTCAAGAGTAGATTCTCTGGAGTTAGTAAACATAACTAATAAATTGACCACCTGCAAACGACCCTTCTCCAAAAATGCGATTGCCGCAGGGATAGCGACATGATTCCTGAGCTCCTAACTCGCACCCGCCTTGACCAGCATGCCCAACGGTCAGCGATTATGAGAGTTATAGGGCAGCCTTGGCCAGCCGGGTGCAAATCAATCTGTTTTGGACTACGGTTCCCATAAGCCACCAGACCAGCCTCCTGCGCCAGCGGAGGCTGATGGGAATTGTAGTCCAAAGCACACCCAGAGGTCGCCAGGTTGTGGGGCAGGGAGGCTGTTTGATGGAAATCCTTGACGGTTTGGGTCTCTGACCCAAGGCTTTACCCAACCCCAAAGAAACGGGAGTTGATTTGCTAATTTTTTTAGTGCTTAGGCAGAGGTTGGGGGCGTCAACAGTCGAATGGCAGCGCCCCCCTCCATCCCATATAAGAAATCCGTCTAAAAATCTGTCTACAATTTTTTTAGACAGTCCCACTGAGTCACCCTGTGACCTTTCTCTTTGGCAAGACGCTACACCGGTAGAACAGCAGCCTGAAGTTGCATACCCAAAAGCAAGAGGAGCACCCCAGGTGCACCGCATCACTTTTTGACATCGGTTTAAGGCACAATTGAAGGTTGTGGGGTGCAAAGTCCCGTCTCCCAGATCCTATGGCTCTGCCCCATTAGATTTGCGTCCCCCTTTCCTGCCCCCCATTGCAATGGTTTGCACCCTTCCTCTCAATCTGTGGGACCTTTAGCACACCAGGCATACGGCTCCCGTCATCCCCGGCCACTGGGCGTGCTTGCCAGGGCTGGGAGGGTGTGGGAGTTGTAGTTCAGGACCCCACAGATGTGGGGAAAGGGTGGGCAGGAGAGGTTGCAATAATTCAGCTGCCCAGTTTCGTATAGGGCCCCGTCTGTGCCGTTGTTAAGGGGGCCAAGAGTTGTAAGAGACCCCTGTATTCCCGTCACAGAGTTATAAGTCCCGGAGTTCCCCGGAAGAGGTATTGATTGTTAAACATCCGAGAGGAATTAGAGAGGAATCTTCAGACAACACTCAGCAAATTTAGCATACTATAGTTCCCGGGAATGTTCGGCGGGGGAGCCATGGCTGTTTAAAGAGGTATGATCCTGTATTAAAGGTATGGTGCAATGAGGCCATGGAAAGAGAATTCAGGAACCTCTCCTTGGCCACATTGAAACTGCCGTGGTTTTGGGAATTCTGGGAGCTGAAGTTTGTTATGGACAATGCTTTTTTCTGGGGGTAAGCATACCCCTAAACATTTTGTGAATATAATGGGAGAAGAAACTATTTTTTAAGAAAAAAATAGTTTCTTCTCCAGCACAGTGAACCACCAGTTCCATTGCTGTCCTCTGATGGCAGCCTTTTGTCCATTTACTGTATTTATTTCCCCCGATTTGAACGATAAAATGGTGGTTTTCTGGAGTCAAAAGGAGGGGACCCCTAAACATTTTTTTTAAAGAAAAAAGCACTGGTTACAGGTTTTCAAGAGTTACTTGGAGACCCCTGTATTCCCACCCCGGAGCAACGATTCCCAAAGAAGGGAGACGGTTTGTTGAACCCCTCTGGCATTTGTAGCTCTATGAGTTGTAGCTCTATGAGGCGAATGGGGGTCCCCTCTGAACCCTCAACACCGTTAATAGCGGACAGCTCCCAGAATCCTTTGGGGCAGCGGTTCACAGCCTGTGGGTCCCCTGTGGACTACAACTCCCATCATCCCTGAGCTCTGGCCTTGCTAGCTAGGGATGATGGGAGTCGTAGTCCAACAACCTCTGGGGACCCACAGGTTGAGAAAGGCTGCTTTGGGGGGAAGCCATGATTGATTCACCAATGGGCGAAGGCGGCCATCGTTGGCACCATTTTTCTACCTGAAGCCAAAGTGCCCGTTCCGTGGAAGGGGTCACGGCACCGCGGAGCACGCAACCCGCTCCCTGAAGGCCTTGGCCAACCGTTTGGCTTCCTTGGCGCCCTCCACGGCTCGCCGGAGGAACCGACACGGGTCGGCCCTCACCCAGGCGACCTCCCGGGCCAGGCCTTCAAGGGCCGGCCGAGCGAGCCCTTCCAGAAGGTTCCACTGCGGCAGGAAGTAGCTGGGGAGGCGCCGGTGCGCCAAGCCGGCGGAGAGGTCGTCCAAGAGGCCCAGCAAGGCGTGCGCCGCGTTCTCGTCCCGGCCGAGGTAGCTGGACGGCAGCCGCTCGCACGACCACAACGCCAAGGTGAAGAGGTGGTAGGGCCCCAGGCCTCCGCGCAGGTCGCAGCCCAGCATGGCCATGGCGGCCCGGAGGGCGCGGAGAAGGGGCGGGGACAGGATCCGGCGGAGGTGCAGCTCGCTGGCCGAAAAGGCCAGGCGCCAGGCACCGCAGGACACGGATGGTATGAGGTAAAAGCTGCCGGCTGCTTCTTCGTCCGTCATTTTGCCGTCCCAGAAATGGGCTTGCGCCAACCACGACTGGGCAACTTCCGGCCAGCCCTTGAAGGCCACAACCGGGAGGATGTCGTAGAGGACGCGGCGAAGCCCGACGCGGACAATCAGGGAGGTGACAGAGCCGCGCCGCACGACCCGGACGTCCTCGTCGGCAGGGAAGGAGCACGAGAGCCACTCACAAACCAGCTCGGCCGACAGGTGGGCCTCGTCGCCCGAGCAACAGTCCGCCCAGCGGGTCAGTGTCTCGGGGCCGAAGGGTTGGAGGCTGATCTGCGCGTGGCCCGGGGGGCTCTGCTTCATGTCCAAGGTGACGGGGACCCCGGCGGCGCTCAGGACGGGCACCAGGAGGGTGAAGTCGGCGTCGTAGTCGCCCCCGGCAGAAAGAGGGCACAGGGTGCCAGGATCGACGTGGACGGTGCCCCGCTGGGCTCCGCCGGACAGGATCAAGTAGCGGTTGATGGGAGGAAGCTTCCCCTCGGATTTCTGGACCTGACCTGGCAGGAGGGGAAAAAAATAGGAGACTTGAGACCCCCGTTTGACTCCCTAATTTTGGGGGGCTGGTTTGACCAGCCCTCCCTTAGCAAATGGTTCTTCCTCTGCCTGGAAAGACCCCCCACAGATACAATATGATAATCTTTATTGTCATTGTCCCGTACAGAACAACGAAATTGAAAAATCTACAGTGGCGCCTCGCAAGACGAAATTAATTCGTTCCGCGAGTTTTGTCGTCTTGCGTTTTTTTTTGTCTTGCGAAGCACGGTGTCGGAAAAGTTTTGGAAAAGCTTCAAAAATCAAAAACCTCAAAAAAGGCTACCACACCGCGTGCTATGAGTTGCTCCTCGAAGTCAAGTCACAACTGTATTAACGGTGTTAAGAAAAAGGAAACAAACTTGCAAGACGTTTCCGTCTTGTGAAGCAAGCCCATAGGGAAAATCGTCTTGCGAAGCAGCTCAAAAAACAAAAAACCCTTTCGTTTTGCGAGTTTTCCATCTTGCGAGGCATTCGTCTTGCGAGGTACCACTGTATATCAGACATTCAAAAACCAACAAGCCTGCTATCCCAGCCTGGTTAGCCCCCTAAAAACTCTGATACCCCATTTTTAAATACAATATACTCCCACAGAGACTACCTTACACTGCGTTTAAAACCAATCACATTCGATAGAAACTGTTTCTCAGGCGGCTAGTCCTAAGTCTTTATAACCCTGGACCTTCTTCCAGAAGGCAGAAGCTGAAAGAGATCATTTCCGGGGTGCGCACTATCCTGCGCTATCTCTGCAGCTTTCTTATGGCACCTGACAGCATAGATTTGATCTAAGGTGGGAAGAGTGCGCCCAATTATTCTCTCTGCAGTCTTTACAACCCTGGACAGCATTGTTTTCCCCCTGGCCGTGCAGCTCCCAAACCACACACACAGACAATAAGTTAATACACTCTCAAGAGTGCAATGGTAAAATGCCATCAACAGGTCCTTTGAGAGATTATTTTTCCGGAGGATTCTCAGAAAATATAAGCTCTGCTGTGCTCTCTTCATCAGGTCTTTGCTGTTTTCTCCCCAGGTTAGGTCATCTCTCAACGCCATTCCCAGAAATTGAAACAAAGAGGTTCTGTCCATGATGGTTCTGGTCAGCTGTTGCTGTTGGCCTCCATCTGTCTTGAGAGACAATGGAGTGTGCCTCCGGGGGTGAAGTCAAACTGCTGGGGCACAAGTCTAGACAGTGGGGGGGGGCAGGGCTGCCCAAATGACATGAACCCCCTCTCGGTCTCACTGATATGGTCCAAAGGAAAGCAGAACAAAATGTTTGGCACGAGTTGCCGGAAGGAGATGTACAAGGCCTCATCCAACCATCCCAGGGACTCCACTCTACTACCAGCTCCATCTGGTACGCAGGATGAAACCCTCCCTGCCCACAGACTGTCTGGCCAAAGTGGAGCATGCTCTGGTTATCTCCTGCTTGGACTACTGCCATGCGCTCTATGTGGGGCTACCTTTGAAGGTGACCCGGAAACTGCAATTAATCCAGAATGCGGCAGCTAGACTGGGGACTGGAATACCATATAATACCGGTCCTCAAAGACTACATTGGCTCCCAGGACGTTTCTGAGCACAATTCAAAGTGTTGGTGCTGACCTTGAAAGCCCTAAACGGCCCCAAAGGCCCAGTAGACCTGAAGGAGCGTCTCCACCCCCATCGTCCAGCCTGGACACTGAGGTCCAGCGCCAAGGGCCTTCTGGCGGTTCCCTCATTGCGAGAAGTGAGGTTGCAGGGAAATAGGCAGAGGGCCTTCTCAGTTGTGACGCCCACCCTGTGAAACGCCCTCCCTTCAGATGTGAAGGAAATAAGCAGCTATCCTCTCTTTAAAAGACATCTGAAGGCAGCCCTGTTCAGGGAAGTTTTTAATATTTAATGCTGTACTGTTTTTAACACTTGATTGGGAGCCGCCCAGAGTGGCTGGGGAAACTCAGCCAGATGGGCGGGGTATAAATAATAAATTATTATTATTATTATTATTATTATTATTATTATTATTATTATTTGTGTAGGGTTTACACAAGGCAGTAGAAGTTTAGGATCAGATTTTTCCTACACGGGCTCCCTTCCCAGGCTGACCCTCTCCCTCTGTCCCCCTCTCCCAAACACCTTCCCCCCTTTCCTGGGTCCAGCCACTCACCCAGCAGGGAGAAAACCTTATCCTTTGCACGGTGCAGTTCCGGGGCGTCCCGGACGCCTGGGTCCCTGGCCTCGTATTCTTGGATGAGCTGGTTGATCTCTTCGATGCGTGCCCCGGAACGGAAATCCAGGTCTGTGAGAGGCTTGGCAGGGGCTGGCTTGGGGTTGGGGGGGTCCCCGAAAAGGGATGCCATCCCCCCGCTTTCCAGCAGGACGAACAGAGAGAGGGAGAGAGAAAGAAAAGAGGGGGGATGATCTCCTCACGACCTTCATTGGAAGAGAAAAATGACTTGATAAGGAGGTAGGATCCTGCTACTGCAGCCAGTGCTCCCATTGAGACTGGCGGGGGGGGGGAGGTGGAAAGACCCCCAGCTCATTCTAGGTATATTTAAAGCATGCACACGCTGCAAAAAGTGGGCAGTGCTGTGTAGTGGTTAGAGCGTTGGACTAGGACCTGGGGGAGAGACCCGGGTTCCAATCCCTACTCACTGGGAGACTCACTGTGGTGGCTGTTTCTGACGAATATTAAGAAATAAATTCACGGCTGGCGAAATCCCAACATTTGACTTTGATTGGCACAGACTAGTTGTTTTTTTTTAATGTTTAAAATTTTTATTTTTTACCAACAACCAAACACAAACATTGAAACCTCCCCCAGGCGGCTGATATATTGGGTAAAGGTAAAGGTAAAGGTAAAGGGACCCCTGACCATTAGGTCCAGATGTGACCGACTCTGGGGTTGCGGCGCTCATCTCGCTTTATTGGCCGAGGGAGCCGGTGTTTGTCTGCAGACAGCTTCCGGGTCATGTGGCCAGCATGACTAAGCCACTTCTGGCGAACCAGAGCAGTGCACGGAAACGCCGTTTACCTTCCTGTCGGAGTGGTACCTATTTATCTACTTGCACTTTGATGTGCTTTCGAACTGCTAGGTTGGCAGGAGCAGGGACTGAGTAACGGGAGCTCACCCCGTTGCGGGGATTCGAACCACTGACCTTCTGATCGGCAAGTTCTAGGCTCTGTGGTTTAACCCACAGCGCCACCCGCGTCGATACATTGGGTATACATAATCAAAAATAACATATTCAAATAACCATATGTACAATTTTATATACGTTAACACTCCTCCCTCCACAAGATTTAACTTTTAACATTTTAATTGCCCCAAATTGTTCAAACCTACCCAAATAATTCCAATATCTTCTCAAATCGATCCTCCTCTTTCTCACTGACCTTAAACCCTTTCATTCTGTGGATCTTCACAGCTAGATATTCTAAAAATATAATATTATTCAGTTTTTTCCTCCGCTGGTTCACCCCTAGCTCCTCTGCATTTTTCCAATTACTCGCTATAAACTGTTTGGCTGCATCAATTTTACCCACTTACATTCCTCTTTTGTTTTTAACTCGGATTAGAAGAACCATTAATTTAGATATTCCCACCTTCCTGCCCACAATTCCCGATTTTTCTATACCTGATTGGTACCGACTAGTAGACCTCTTTGTTATTTTCTGGCTCGACTTCAAACTGAACCTCTTCCTCCCTGTTCCGACATCGCGCAAAACGTTTTGATTACTTTGCCAAGAGAGAACCCCGGGAGCTGCGCTTTAGCCAGGCTGCTCGGAACTGTAGCCGGGGTAAAACTACAATTCGCAGCACTTGGTTAAACTACAATTCCCACGGATCGTTTTGGGCGGTGATGGAGGAGAGGGGAAATGTACTTTTCCGCGTCTGGTGAGACGCAGGTGTAGGAGGAGGAGGGTGCTGGCGGGCGGTGCCACCCCTGGGCTGCTTGCCAGCAAAAAGACAGGCAGGTAGGTGGGTGGGTAGGTAGGTGGGTGGGTGGGAGCTAGCCGAGGGCCGGCTCAGGTGGGTGCGCTCGCCCTCGGGGGCCAGACTCCGCTGGAAATATCTCGGATCTGGACGCGCAAGGGCGGGGAATGGCTCTGCCGGCGCACCTGGGCGCGCGATGGAGACCATCGCCCAGGTAAAATGCAGGTGCAACGACCCCTGCTCCTTCCTCCTCCCTCTCTCCTCCTTCCTCCTTCCTCCTTTTCTTTTCCTCTCCTCCCCTTCCCTCCCTCTCTCCCTCCGGCTGCTACCTGCTCCGCCGAGGAAATCCAGGAAGCCCCATCCCGCTCACCTGCAACTTACCTGTCCAAGCGGAGGGCGCGCCCACAGCCAGGGAAATCTCAGCTCCTAAGCACCCTGGGAAATGTAGTTTCTCCCCACTGACTCCCGCTTCCAGGCGTGTCCCAAAGCATGCTGGGAAACGTAGTCTTTCCTCCCCACCTTTTTCTTTTTAAAGCGCTCTCAAAAGGTCCTCCAAAGCACCTTGGCTAGTTTTGTCCCAAACGAGACCTTTTCCTGGGGGGAGAAGCGAAGTCTTGGCTCTATTTTCTACATCCAGGGCTAATTCAGTGCAGTCCTAACAGCCCTGGGACGTCTATTTTTTCTCTCTTGGTCCCTCCAGCTGCAGTTGTAGTTTTTAATGTGGGTTTCCAAAATGCCTGCCTTGTGACTCCTGCCCGCCTGGACCTTGGGTCCTTTCCAACTCTGCAATTCTGTGATTCTATGGAAGCAAATACCTGCATCCCCAGGTGAGGTTACTTGGCTGCCTGAAAACTGCCTTGTAGCTACAGCAGTACTACAGTAGAACCTTGGTTTTCGAACATAATCTGTTCCAGAAGACCGTTTGAGTTCTGAAACGTTCAGAAACCGAGGCGCAAAGGGGGGTCTGCAAATTTAATAGGGAAAATTGAGAAAAATAACATATACACTCAGCGGAAACTGTTCGACTTCCGAGGCACGTTCAAAACTGGAAGTATTTACTTCCGGGTATACAGCGTTTGAAAACTGAAATGTTCGTCAACGAAGACTTTCGAAAACCAATGTACCACTGTACTTTAAACCTTTCCCCACTCAAAACCCACATACAGTGGTACCTCGGGTTAAGTACTTAATTCGTTCTGGAGGTCCGTACTTAACCTGAAACTGTTCTTAACCTGAAGCACCACTTTAGCTAATGGGGCCTACTGCTGCTGCCGCGCCGCCGGAGCACGATTTCTGTTCTCATCCTGAAGCAAAGTTCTTAACCTGAAGCACTATTTCTGGGTTAACGGAGTCTGTAACCTGAAGTGTATGTAACCCGAGGTACCACTGTACTGAGATATATACCCTCTCCCATGTTAAAGGAATTTTAAGGTCTCAAAAATTGAACAAATGTAGATCATTGCACAAGGAAAACACACATATATAAATATATTGTAATAAAAAATTAAAGGTCTTTTATATATATATATATATATATATATATATATATATATATATGGACCACATGTCTGGAGCAGCACAGGAAGACCACCCTGAAACCATTTTGACTCCCAAACTGACCAAATCTTTTCTCTGCAAGGAGGGAGGGGGTGAGGGAACCTTCCCATCGTCTCAGGAATTGGGAAATCGCCATCTCAAAGGAATGGCCAGACCACCAGGAAAGGCAATCACATAAGGCATTATCAGATAACCTGGCAGACAGGAGATAAACAATGCACTCAGATTTCTGTTGTAGACCGCCTTTTCTGTGATGTAAATATGATGTTTGTGGGGGGTGGTCTTGGGTTACACCCCTTCTGTGATGTATGTATGATGTATGGAGGGGTGGTCTTGAGCTCCAGGGAGGGAATTTAAAAGGTCTATATAAGGGTGGACACACCTGGGTTCTGGGTCCTCCTCCTTTCCTGCTTGTGAGGGGAGCACCCTGTTGCAACAGCTTTAATAAAGATCAATCTTACTAGCCGCTTTGATTCTCAATATTCTCTGGTTGGCCTCTGTTATTTTCTCCTACTGATAGGGAACCCACTTAAGGACTCTGTACGGGCTCTTACATACCCCATAAGGGAAGAAGGGCAGGTTTTGTTTACAACACTGTACTCCTTAGGCCTGGCACCCCTGGCCAAATCCTGCTTCTTCAAATTAAGAGCTAATTTCATGTGATTCATTGCTGGCTTGCTCCTGTCAAGGCACCAAACCTAAACGCAAACCAATCCTAAACGCAAGCCAGAATCGCTGCGCAACACACAACGCTTTCGCAGAATGGACGTGCAGTCGGTGGTTTTGCTTTTTATTTCCTTTCCCAACCCAAAGGTGACTCAGGCCGGGGCGGCCAGGTCCTCGTCCTCCTCTCTTGCGGGTTCCCATTTCGGATGGGGCCCCTACTACTGTTTCACCGGGCGGTACACCCAGTCCGAGACGGCGGCCGGCTCAGGCCAGGAATACCGCGGTTTGACGCTGGGGGTCTCCGGCGGCGCCGTCCCTGGCAAAGGGCTGCCGCCGATGCTGTGGAACCGGGGCGCTGCCGGTGGCGACAGCGGACTGTTCAGCAGCTGCTCCGGTTCGGCGCGCGATTTCCGCCGGGAGGATTCCCGAGGCTCGTACTCGACTGGCTGCTCTTCCGGCGTGGTCACGATGGTCCCTCGCCGCCGGTAGCTTCTCTCAGGGCTGCCCGACCGGCTCGCCGGCGGCGTTTGGGGGTGCACCGGGTAGATGTAGACTTTGGTAGGCCTGCGGCCCGTCGTCCCGGGGTATTCAGCCTCCGGCGCGGAGCGGTACTGGTTATCGTTCGCCGGCAACCTCGAGAAGTAATCGGGGTTTACCGCCATGCTGTTCCGGTGATCGTTGCTGCTGCCCGAGGCCAGCATGGGGTCGGAGGAGCCGCAGGCGACGTCCCGGCAGCGGGTGACAGGGGAGGGCGCTGAGGACGTGCGCGGGCGCTGCCGGGGGTCGCAGTCGCAGGTGCAGCACCGCAGAGCGTGGCACGGCAGGTAATCAGGGCAGGGGCGCCGGCCAAGACGCTGGTGCTCTCTGCAAGGAAAAGGTTCGTTCTGCAAGTTCATGGTGACCTTCAGCGGCTCCAGGGTGCAGTGGAGGCAGCGCCGGTGCGGCGAACAGCTTTCGTGCCGGCGCCGGCGAGGGAGGTTCTGGTCGGACCACTGCGCTGCCAGCCGCCTGGATTGGGTTCTCCTCGTCTTGGGGGTGGCGCACATCTTTGACGTCTCGGGTTCTGGGAAGAGAAAGCAAAGGGCCGCAGCGGCAAAGATTGAACTCTCGTAAAATGTTGCATTTGAATAATGGCAAACAACTGTCCTGCTGTGTCAATGGGCTTGTTTATCATATACTATGGGTAGGCAAACTAAGGCCCAGGGGCCGGATCCGGCCCAATCGCCTTCTAAATCCAGCCTGCGGACGGTCCGGGAACCAGTGTGTTTTTACATGAGTGGAATGTGTGCTTTTTATCTAAAATGCATCTCTGGGTTATTTGTGGGGCATAGGAATTCGTTCATATTTCCCCCCCAAAATATAGTCCGGCCCCCCACAAGGTCTGAGGGACAGTGGACCGGCCCACGGCTGAAAAAGTTTGCTGACCCCTGTCCTATACAGTGGATCCTTGCTTCTCAAACAGCTTAGTTGACGAAACAAATCGGTTCCCGAACGGCGAAACCCGGAAGTGAGTGCTCTGGTTTCCGAATATCTTTCGGAAGCCGGACGTCCGATGCGGCTGTCAGCTATTGTTTCCGGGGCGCCTGCGCCAATCAAAGGCCGCACCTTGGTTTTCGAACATTTCGGAAGTCAAACGGACTTAAGTTCGAGAACCAAGGTTCCGCTGTATTTGAATCCGGGGTGTTTTGACTCTCCTTCACTGGAGGTTTTTGAGCAGAGGGTAGCCAATTGCCTGTCAGGGATTCTTTAGCTGTGATTCGTGTGTTAAAGGGGGCTGGACTGGATTAAAACGGGTTGGTCTGGATGACCCCGTGGGTCCCTTCCAATTCTGCAAACCTTTGGGTCTATGACCTCACAAGCTGGACTGTCCCTCGTTGCAGGTTTTTAAACAGAGGTGGGGTGCCCATCTCATGGGCTCTCAAATTTCAGCAGCAACCGTGCAACACTATAATTTTGCACCACCTGCCCCTCGAATCTCCGATCTGCATCACGGTTGTGGCGCCCCCTGCAGGTTGGTGGCCAGTACAGCCAAAGTTTGTCGCTCTTAAACCGCCTCTGGCTATCTTCCTAGCGATTCTTCACCTGTGATTCCTGCACTTCAGGGGGATGGACTAGATGATCGCTTGGGAACCCATTCCGACTCTTAAGATTCTACGAATGTAGCAATGTATTTCCATTGCGAGTAGCTGTACTTTATGATCAGTTACATTCTTGATGTTTCGTTGTTGTTGTTTTTTATCTGAACTAGCCTTGGCCTCCCTTCTTAAAACTTTATTTTACTTGAGTAAGATTTAAGTACCGCTCGGTTGTGAAGAACGGACAAACCTCGAAGCGTTTTACGAAAACTCAGAGCAAACCGTTAACATTACCGGTTAGAAAACAGATATCCGAAAGACGGTTAGAGTCAACGGTAGCTAAAATAAATAAATCGAGGACTTGTAGCCTCTCAATGTCTGTGTAGACCGGCCTGATCAAAAATGTTTTGCAGCTAAAAGGAGTACAGTAATGGTTCCTGACTAAGGTCAAGTGGCGGGGAGTTCCAAAGTGTACTTAAAGATCAATTTCTGACAAGTGCGGAAACCCTTCAGTAATATTACGGCTAGCGACGATAATCTTTCAAAACGGCAACGGAAAGGACGATTGGGTTCCAATGCAGCAAACGAAAGGTTTGCGGAAAGAAAGTATAGGGTTCCTCAGGGTTTAATCTTATCCCCATTGCTATTCAACATCTACATGCCTGGGATAAGGCTCAGTCAGTAGAACAAGGAACTCTAAAAATCAGGGTTGTGGGTTTGAGTCCCACTCAGGGCATGTGGGATACTCTCACAGGGGAGACTCACCTGATGCCTTCATTATACACCTTTAGGCACCAGGCAAAAACTTTCCTCTCGGACTGGCTGGCATTCCAGGCCCTTTTAAATGTGTTTTTTTGGGGGGGAATTATTGGTTTGTTTCTGTTTGTATTTTTATTATTTTGTGGTTTTGATACTGCAGTTTTGTGTTGTGAACCGCCCTGAGATTGACGGGTGAAATTTGGTGTACAAATTTAATGTTATAAGAATTCTAAGGTCTCAAATACAAATTGAATGTTCACAAATGTACAAGGCATACACATACATAAGTATATAAACCATGTGTCTGAGATAGTAAAGGTAAAGGTAAAGGGACCTTTGGGTCCAGTCGTGACTGACTCTGGGGTTGCGGCTCTCATCTTGCTTTACTGGCCGAGGGAGCCAGCGTCCAGCTTCCGGGTCATGTGGCCAGCATGATTAAGCCGCTTCTGGCGAACCAGAGCAGCGCACGGAAACACTGTTCACCTTCCCGCCGGAGCGGTACCTATTTATCTGCTTGCACTTTGACGTGCTTTCGAACTGCTATGTTGGCGGGAGCAGGGACCGAGCAACGGGAGCTCACCCCGTCACGGGGATTCGAACTGCCAACCTTCTGATTGGCAAGCCCTAGGCTCTGTGGTTTATACCACAGCGCCACCTGGAGAGCAATCCTGAAGCCATTTTGACTCTCCCAATGATCTCAAATATTCCTCTGCAGTAAGGGAGGAAAATGGGGAAAGCCTTCCCGTTGTCTTTTCGCTTGCAAATCCTGTCTTAAGGGTACATTTGTGTATGAATAGGGTGAGCCTGTGACCTGGACTGAGGAACTAAAGTATTAACCATCACAAAAGAATGGCCAGGCCGCCCAGGTAAAGCAATCAGTGACCATTATCAGGTATCCTGGCAGACAGGATTTCTGCTGTAGACCGCCTCCTTCTGTGATGTATGCATGATGTTTGGGGCCACAGGGTGGGCAATTTCAGGAGTCTCTATAAGGGCTTGTGCACCATTGTTCTGGGTCCCTCCTGCCTCCTGCGTGCGGGGGGAGTGAGGACCCTGTTGCAACAGTTTAATAAAGATCAGGCTTACTAGCCGCTTTGCTACTCAATATTCTCTGGCTGGCCTCTGTTATCTTCTCCTACCGATAGGGAACCCACTTAAGGACTCTATACGGGCTCTTGGAGACCCCATAAGGGAAAAGGAGCAGGGTTTTTTTTTTCTTATAACAAGACTAAGTTTGTTTTTTGTTTTTTTTACCAAAGACTAGGTTTTTTCTTAATAAGACTAGGGTTTTTTTTACCAAAAAATTAGGTTTAAAATTGGGGCTCGTCTTATACATGGGTAGTGCTGAGGGGGTGTTTTCTTAATTTGGAGTCCCCCAAAATAGTGTGCGTCGTATATATGGGGGGCATCTTATACACATCAAAACACGGTAAATTATAATTTGAATTTGCTGGTGACTCTATCCCATGGGTAGGCAAACTAAGGCCCGGGGGCCGGATCCGGTCCAATCACCTTCTAAATCTGGCCCACGGACAGTCCGGGAATCAGTGTGTTTTTACATGAGTAGAATGTGTCCTTTAATTTAAAATGCATCTCTGAGCAGATTTTTTTTCTTACAACATTCATAAATGAGAATAAAACGTCCCCATAAAGGCATAAACTCACCCTTTGCGCAGATCGTTCCAATCAGTGTCCCAAGCAGGCAGCAGAAATAATAGCAGGCCTGGAGGGAGAAGAGGAAGGTGGAGGATTATAGGGGGCCACGTCAGACGGCTGGTGGCCCCTGGGACTCAGCTGAGGCCTCTGGCCTGGCCTGGCAGCTGCCATATCCTGAATCCAGCCGCCGGGTCCATGCAGCCCCGTACTGCTAATTCTGACTGGCAGAGGCTGCTCAAGGCTGTTTCCCAGCAGCAGCAGCCTGTTCTTTTCAAACACTGCCAGGGGTTGGAGCATCTAACCAGGACAGGATCAGACCAAAAGGGATGCCTTCTAGTCCAGCGTCCTGGTCTCAAAGTGGCCTGGGGAGGAAACCCGAAAGCAGGATTCGAACACAACTCTCCCTCCTCCAGTGTTCAGAAGCATTGCGCCTTCAACTGTGGGGGCCACAGCCAATATTATTTTATGAATGTTTTGTTATGTTACGGGGAAATTGGAAGGGGGTGAGAGCAGGGGCGTACGAAGGGGTGTGTGGTTGGGGCGGTCCGACCCGGGTGCCATCCCAGAGTGGGGTGACAAAATCCCCCCTGGGTGGATCGCGCCGCCCCAATGCGCCGGGTTCAGGAGCAGCTAGCTCTGCCACTGGAAGCAAAGACAACAAGACTACAAATGGAGCGATTCACTGATCAATGCATATATGTATTGGCTCAATGGGAAAACTCTAGAAATCCATAAGAAATCACTCGTCGTGAAAGAAGAACGGCAGATGAAATTAATGGACTATGCAGAATGGGACAAAATGACAGGAAGGATTTGAAACCTGCGGGACCAGAGATTTACAGAAGATTGGCAGAAGTATACAAACTATTTGAGAAGCAATTGCAACCAACAAGTTACGCTAGTAGGACGACAAGAAGTTTTGTAAGGAGAAATATACGAAACGTGACAAACTCGATAAAGAATAGAGATATTGCTTATGAGTTTTAAATGTAATAGGGGAAGTAAGAAATGTGAACGTTCTTTTGGAAGCCAAATGTCCGACGGGGCTTCCGATTGGCTGCAGGAGCTGCTTCCTGCAGCCAATCAGAAGATGCGATTTGGTTTCCGAACGTTTCGGAAGCCGGACGGACTTCCAGAGCGGATTCTGCTCGACTTCCGAGGTACGACTGTACAACCTTTTAGAAGACGTACGAAGGCAGCCCTGTAAGTTTTTAAATGTTTTATTATGCTTTGATATATGTAGGAAGCCGCCCAGATGGCTGTCAGATGGCTGGGATAATAATAATAATACAGTGGTACCTCTGGTTGTGAACGGGATCCGTTCCGGAGGCCCGTTCACAACATGAGCAGAACGCAACCCACATCTGTGCGTGCGCAGGTTGCGATTCGCCGCTTCTGCGCATGACGTCATTTTGAGCGTCTGCACATGCGTAAGCGGCAAAACCTGGAAGTAACCCTTTCTGAAAACACTCAACCTGAAGCAAACGTAACATGAGGTATGACTGTAATAATAATAATAATAATAATAATAATAATATAATGGAATAAAAGATAAAGGGTCCCCTGACCATTAGGTCCAGTCATGGACGACTCTGGGGTTGCGGCGCTCATCTCGCTTTATTGGCCGAGGGAGCCGGCGTACAGCTTCCGGGTCATGTGGCCAGCAGGACTAAGCCGCTTCTGGCGAACCAGAGCAGCACACGGAAACGCCGTTTATCTTCCCGCCAGAGTGGTACCTATTTATCTACTTGCACTTTGACGTGCTTTCGAACTGCTAGGTTGGCAGGAGCAGGGACCGAGCAACGGGAGCTCACCCCGTCGCAGGGATTCGAACCGCCGACCTTCTGATCGGCAAGTCCCAGGCTCTGTGGTTTAACCCACAGCGCCACCTGCGTCCCTTTCCGTAATGGAATAGGGCGTCCCTATTTTCATCAGATAAATGCGGGAGGGTATGGAACAGGATGCTGGCCTCGACGGGCCTCATCCTGCAGGTACTTCCGATTTGTAGGGAAGAGTGCTAACTCTCAGGGGCAGAACATCCCAGTGCCACTGGAATTGTGGCTCCACAAAGACCTCCAGTCCACTTGCCCGCCAGAGCTTCAGGGGCCTGATCCAGGCCCTCCCTCCCCGCAAATGCATGCCAACAGTCCTCTCACCGCTGCGGCCAGCTTCAGCGCCAGATGGACCAGGACGATCAAAGCGACCAGGATGGCGATGGTTTCGTGGAGCTCCAGGCAGCATCCCTCGGGGGACGGGTGGCAGTGGAAGCTGGACTCCCCCATGGGAGAGGCGACTGGGCCAGCAGCTGGCTGGCTGAGCCCCACATCCCCACCGGCCTCCACGCCCAGGGGCACAGGGCAGGGCAGCTGTCCAGCCGGCAGGAGCTAATGGCCGGCCGGGGAGGCTGAGGGGAAAGGGGGTTTGTGATGCAGTTGCCCTGGCAGCCGGGAGGGGGATTGTGACGCGGCGGGGGGGTGGGCAAGAGGCAAATGGGCCTCTGTGGGGAGGTGGTCCCTCTATAGGGGTCATGGAGGGCGGCCCTGGAGGAGGGATGCAAGTGTGATAGGAATTTTGAGGTCTCAGATATATATTAAATGTTCATCAATGTACCAGCCAAGCACGTACATAGATCAGCACAGGACGACCGACCTGGAACCGTTTTGATTCCCAAACTGAGCAAATGTTTTCTCTGCAAGGTCAAAGGAAAATGGAAAAGCCTGCCCATTGTCTTTTCCTTCACAAATCCTGTCTTAAGGGCACATTTAAGATATGAATAGTGTGTGAGCCTGTGACCTGACCCAGGAACTGCAGTATTTTTCGCTCTATAAGATGCACCAGAGCATAAGACGCACCTAGTTTTTGGAGGAGGAAAACAAGAAAAAAATTATTTTGAATCCCAGAAGCCAGAACAGCAAGAGGGATTGCTGCGCAGCGAAAGCAGCGATCCCTCTTGCTGTTCTGGCTTCTGGGATAGCTGCGCAAAATACGGCAAAAAATACAGTAAGTATTTATCATTACAAAAGACTGGCCCTCTTTGAAAAAGGTTTGGACACTGTTAAGTTGTGGGTGAACATCTCAGACGACACAGCGATTCTTCAAACAGCTCTTGTTTATTCACAGGCCAGAACAGAACTGAACTGAAGGGGTCAGCCACCCTGCTTATATAGAGCTCCAGTACCACGCAACTGCAACAACTTTCTGTAACTATCCAATCACGGAATGTTGCTTTCAATCCCTTATTTGCATATGTGGACCTGAGTGAAAACTATCTACAGTATCCCCCTGCTGGCCTAGGGTGAGAACTTCAGTACATAACAGACACCACTGCCTTATGGGGTACCCAAGTGCCCGTACACAGTCCTTAAGTAGGTTCACTAACAGTAGGAGGAAATAACAGAGGCCAACCAGAGAATATTGTGAAGCAAATCAGCTAGTGTTATAAGAATTTTAAGGTCTTAGAAGTGGCTTTGTCATGGCCTAAGGGAGCCGGCGTACAGCTTCCGGGTCATGTGGCCAGCAGGACTAAGCTGCTTCTGGGGAACCAGAGCAGCGCACGGAAACGCCGTTTATCTTCCCGCCGGAGTGGTACCTATTTATCTACTTGCACTTGGAGATGCTTTCGAACTGCTAGGTTGGCAGAAGCAGGGATTGAGCAACGGGAGCTCACCCCGTCACGGGGATTCGAACCACCGACCTTCTGATCGGCAAGCCCTAGGCTCAGTGGCTATTGTGGCTTTCGGACTCAGATGGTGGGAATTCTCGTGCTGGCCCGAAATACACCACCTTTACCACCAGATGGCACCAGCAAGCTATGGAATAACCCTTATCTGTGTCTGGGCTTCTTCCTGCTTTTTAACCCATGAGATTTTTGCCTGTTTCACAGAACACAAACTGGCCACCCGATCGGATGCCTCCAGCACATCCTGCTCTACCCACTAGGCGTCACTTCTATTCCTGCTGGGCCGGAAGTCATTCCTCCTTTCCCTCCCTCTGGCTCTGCTCCCTCCCATGAGGACCTGGGTTCGAATGTGGGTTGAATCTGGGTTGAGGCACGGTTTTGGGACTGAATGAGCTTCGACGGATGATGACTTCTCTCAAGAACGGGACAGTGGAGTGCCACTCTGTGTCTTGATTTCTTGGCAGCTTCTGCTGATTCCTGAATAATATTAGCAACAATAATTTGTATAGTAGGGACGCGGGTGGCACTGTGGGTTAAACCACAGAGCCTAGGACTTGCTGATCAGAAGGTCGGCGGTTTGAATCCCTGCGACGGGGTGAGCTCCCGTTGCTCGGTCCCTGCTTCTGCCAACCTAGCAGTTCGAAAGCACGTCAAAGTGCAAGTAGATAAATAGGTACCACTCCGGCGGGAAGGTGAACGGCGTTCCGTGCGCTGCTCTGGTTCACCAGAAGCAGCTTAGTCATGCTGGCCACATGACCTGGAAGCTGTACGCCGGCTCCCTCAGTCAGTAAAGCGAGATGAGTGCCGCAACCCCAGAGTCAGCCACGACTGGACCTAATGGTCAGGGGTCCCTTTACCTTTAATTTGTATAGTGCCCTTCATCTATTGATCTCAGGGCGGTTTGCAACATAAAAACACAAAATGCATAATAAAAACAAGAACAAACAATTAAACCCTTTCCCACAAACACATTTTAAAGGGTATTGGATGTTAATCGGCCAAAGGCCTGGTTGAATGTTTTCACCTGGTGCCTAAAGATATGTAATGAAGCTGCCAGATTCCCTGGGGAGAATACCCCACAAACAGGGAGCCACTGCAGAAAAGGCCCCGTTCTTGCATTACCACCCTCCAGACCAGGCATGGGCAAACTCAGCCTGGTCCAGATGTTGTTGGACTACAACTCCCATGATCCCTAGCTAGCAGGACCAGTGCTCAGGGATGATGGGAATTGTAGTCCCAAAACATCTGGAGGCCACCAAATTCTGTGCCTCCAAACTGTCTTCAGAGGCAGCCCTACGTATAACACATTGCAGGGGGTTTGGACTAGATGACTCTCCAATGCTACAATTCTTTTTTTTATATATTCAGAATTGCAAATTGAATCCAGAGCATCGCAGCCTTCAAATATTTCAAGACCCAATCTAGTTTTCGTAGCCTCGACTGGCACGGCCACCTCGAGCCCGCTCAAACTTGTGGCCCTTGTATGGCTTATTGTGGCTGTGTCGATTTCCAGGCGCCTTGCCAAAATGCCTGTAAACTTTGTGAGCCTTCCTGGGTCCAGAAAGCAACACAGTTCCTTTGCCCTTGGGGGCACCCATTGTTATAAGAATTTTAAGGTCTTAGATATGTAATAAATGTTCATATATGTAATAAACGTTCATAAATGTACCAAGCAAACATGTACATAAATATATAAACCACATGTCTGAAACCCCCACAGAAAAAATGTCCTGAAGAAATTGACCTCAATTATTTCTCTGCAAGTGGGAAACCTCCCCATTGTCTCTTTCCTCACAAAACCTGTCTTAAGGGCACATTTAAGATATGAATAGGGTGTGAGCCTGTGACCTGGCTCAGGAACTAAGTGTTTATCATAACAAAAGACTGGCCAGGCTCCCCAGGAAATCCAATCAAGTGACCATTAAACAGGTAACCTGCCAGACAGGAGCTAAACAACGCACTCAGATTTCTGTTGTAGACCGCCTTTTCTGTGATGTAGGTATGATGTATCTGGGGGTGGTCTTGAACTGCAGGGCAGGGAATTTAAAATGTCTATATAAAAGCTTGCACACCTTTGTTCTGGGTTCCTCCTCCCTCCTGCGTGTGGTGAGTGAGGACCCCATTGCAAAAGTTCAATAAAGATCAGGCTTACTAGCTGCTTTGCTTCTCAATATTCTCTGGTTGGCCTCTGTTCTTTTCTCCGACAGATGGAGAACCTGCAAAGGACTCTATAAGGGCTCTTGTGTCCCCCATAAGGGAAGAAGGGCAGATTTCCGTTTATTACACCATGGCCAACTGGTCAAAAGTCATGATCTGGTCACCAGCTTTTAGGTACGGGCTCCTGGGGTCACTCTCAGGGCACAAATCTTCAGTTTGGGGTTTTCCTGGATGCGAACATCATCGGTCACTGTACCCACCACGACAGCAGTTTTGTTCTCCTGGCCATAGCTGTCAACTTACAGATTTGAAAATAAGGGACCAGCAGCCTCGAAAATAAGGGATCAGCAGCCAAAATAAGGGCTTTTAGTCAACCAGCAGCCAAACGAAGCCTCAAGCGTTGGTTCCCACAGCGCAGCAACCCGGCAAAGGGGACGCAGCAAGGGAAACCACCGTCCCCTCTCTGCTGGGAAGCGCTGAGCAAAGGCGAGTCCCCAGGCAAGGCGGCCGATTTGATTGGCACAAGGCATGCAAGCTCCACCCCCCAGTCGTTCTCAGACTCCTTATTGGGTGAGCAACGCAGCCAAGCAACCCAGTTGGAGCCTCCCTCCTCCCTGGCCGGCAGGGAGGGAGGGAGAGGAGCTGCTTCCTTTGAAACCTGGGAAATTTAAGGGACATCATCAATAAGGGACGGCAGGGGGATACAGCGCTGGGATAAGGGACTTTCCCGCCAAATAAGGGACGGTTGACAGCTATGCTCCTGGCGTAGGAGCTTCATCTTACAGATCACGAGGGAAACGGACAGCAGAGACCTGTTGGTGCGGCTCATAAAGACCCGTTTGAGAATCACCTTGTTGAATTTTGCATTGGTCCATCGAGCAAGAAATCTGTAGAGCTTGACCAGGAGGCGAAGGTAGATATCCTGACTCTTTGGGAATATAAGAAAGTAAAAAACTTCTGGGAGATGATATATAATGAGATGAAAAAGATGTTGAAATATACATTAAAAAAAACAACCAGAAGCATTTTTACTTGGTATTATAAGTGAGGATATTAATAGACAGGATGTTAAATTGTTTTTATACGCAACAACAGCGGCAAGAGTATTGTTGGCCCAGAAATGGAAGCAGGAAGACAAAAGAAGAATTGCAGACAAAAATAATGGACTACACAGAATCGGACAAAATGACAGGAAGGATTCGAAACCTGCGGGACCAGAGATTCACAGAAGATTGGAAGAAATATACGAACTGTTTGAAGAGCAACTGTAATCAACAAATTACGCTAGTAGGACTACAAGAAGTTTTGCAAGGAGAAATATATGAAATATTGCAAAGAAGAGAGACATTAGTTATAATATTTAAATGTAATAGTGAAAGTAAGAAATGTAAATTAAGTGATAAGGTTCGAAAATTTTCAGATGCGATTGATGGAAGTAAAAAAAAGTGTATAAGATATAAAAGTATGTTTAATAATTGTTGAAAATGTTATGTTAAAAAACTAATAAAAATATATATTTTTTAAAAATAGCCTGACTCTTAGGCTCTTTGCATCAAACCTTCCGGTCCCATGGCAGC